GCAATTAACTTATGATAATTAAATAGATTGTTAACATTCTGAATGATCCCTTATACCCATATCACTAATAAAATGTAAACTGTATATTTTACCACTGGTCATTCATGTGGTTATGGTTTGTTTTGAGTGCAGTTTTGTTTCCACCTGAAAGCCCCGTCATGTCCTGTTTCTTTCTCTCTCTTAATCTTTAAAAACCCTGTTTCCAGATAAAATGAGCAGCCTGTTTGAACAGAGCAGTGAAAAAAACAACTTCACCCTCTGGTGATGGAGGTGCAGCTGAATGGTTAAGTCCTCTGCAGCCTCACGTGTCCTCCTGCTGCACTGGGACTCCGGCCAGAACTTTGTCCCCGTGTTTCCCTCTGTGCTTTCCAGCCATCTGAATGAAGGAGGAGAGAGGGAGGGCGAGTACACTGGCCTCACAGAACACAAGGTTTCAGCTGTGAAGCCTCGTACACAGACTCACAAGGCATAACACCCCCCCCATCATAAGTTTGTCAATGAAACAAGTTCATGTGTTAAAGCTGCACAAATCAATGATTCCACACTAACAAGTCAAGGTGTAATTTAAAGAGTGTAATTTGGCATTATAAGAGGTTTGTTCACAGTGATAACTAATAAACAGTTCTCTGCAGCTTTTTAGGCTTTTTGCCTCTGTCCCATGTGTTCATTGGGTGTTTGTTTCAAGTCAAGTCAAGTCAAGTTGTTTGTTCGTTAGCAGGATTCTACAGAGACTACTCAACTGATTTCCATGGAATTTTGTGGCGAGGCAGGGCGGGGCGGGGTGGGGTGGGATATTACCCAAAGTAGAAGTCAGTCAAGTTTTGTGCAGATAAAAATCAAGCCAGGAATTGTTTTTCTTTCTCAAACATTGTGAAACAATTGTCAACATTTTCCTTGATCCCCCAGAAAAGAATTTGTGGATCTTAAGGAAAAGAAATCAGGCAAATTTAGGGGACAGATATTTATGAATGTGTGTAATTTAATGCAGATCCAAATTAAAATCCAGATCAAGTAAATTTAAATGTGGTTTGTTGGGCCTTTGCTCCAACAAGGCTCCGGCGATCACCTGAGAAAAATCATTTTAACAACTTTTTTAGATTGAACTTTTTCTTTAAACAGTTTCTGTATAACGTCACGATCTGCTCCCTGGGTAATGTTTTTCATTATGTCATATACTCATTGTGTATATACTTTCCTCAAATCTTGTCTCACTATTCACTTCCTGCCATTGTGTGTTTCCTGTGACTGTCCGTCCCGCTCTGATTATTTTCATCTGTGTCCTTGTGGTCCCCTCCCTCAGTGTCAGTTGCATTTTAATACCAAATGTTCCAGCACATTTCTATCGTTATTAGTGGTCCAGGTTATTGATTTGTTAGTTTCTCTGACCTCGTCTTTGTCTCTCACAGATGTTAGTCTGGACCTCTGACGTCTCACCTGGGAGCTGAAAGTGTCTTCTCTTTTTCCATTTGCCCCCAAGTTTTGTTAATGTAATAGTGGAAGAACATGTATATGTTTGTTAATTAGAGTTGTGTTGCAATCCCAAGAAGAGATGGGCCGAATGCATTGACACAGAAATAAACAAATAGATGAATTTATACTACCATCTTATTATTACTGCTGTAAATTACAATTGGTGTTATATGTAGATTATAATTACTGTCATTATACCAAACAGTCTGGCAGGACTTGAATACAGCAGTAGCTGTTCCGGTCTCTCTCTTCTCTCTCTCTCTTCCATTTATCTTTTCCTTAATCTCTCTCCTCCCAACCCAATGGTCGAGGCAGGTCAAGGGACGGGGCAAGAGTCAATCCTAGCTGGCATTGGGCAAGAGGCGGGGTCAACCCTGAACAGGTCGCCAGCGTATTGAAGAGCCGACATAGAGAGACAAACCATCCATGCTCACTCTCACCCTTATGGCCAATTTTAATTTCCAATTAACCAAACCCCAATCTACATGTCATGTTTGGAAGTTGGAGGACCTGGAGAAAAACTCCACACAAACACAGAGAGAACAAGTAAACTCCAAACAGAGAGGCACCGGGAGGACCAGGATTTGAAATTGGAACCTTCTTACTGTGTGATGCCTTGATTTGACATTATTTTTTGAAATCCTGTTTGAAATGAACTGTCAACAATGATAAATTCTCATCTTTACATCTTAGAAGAAAGTCATTTTGATGACAGGAGGTGGTTTTTCAATGAGGGGGAACATAGCAGATGACAAATATTGTCAGTCATCCTATTATGAAGGAACTTGTTAACTCTGTACAAGTACCGTACAAGTGTAAAGTAATAAGTGGGGAGGAATGAAGTTTTTCTGTTGCTTATTAAAACTCTCCCAGTTCTTCTCAGCATCTGATTGTGTTTGTCACCGATGAGGAGGATTAACACTG